ACAGCCCACTAGTCCACGAAAGCTTATGCTCTAATAAATTTGTTAGTCTCTAAGGTGCCACAAGTACTTCTGTTCTTCTTTTTGCGGATACAGACTAACACGGCTGCTACTCTGAAACCTGATAGTAAAAGTAATTTACTGCAAAAAATAGAGCTGCAGTGGTTTTATGAAAGCTTATGTTTCCTGAGATCCACAGCTACAGCAGAACAGCATGTGCCTAGAGTCGGCTAGATCCTTTCCTCTGACTCTCCAGTTGTACAGAACTGTTGATGAATGCTCTTTAGGATGCTCTGCAGCAGAAAGCAGGCAGAGCAGCAAAATTCTCCCCATTGTAGGCTTTGTGTGGCTTGACAGCCTCCTATTCTCTGGAAAGTGCTTGCAGCAACTTGGCTTAAATTGGCAAATGGTCAACAATTGCATATGTTCATTATTTTTTCATAATATTGGAAATAAAATTCAGAGTTAAGGTGGCATGTCACATGTGAAGAGCATAATTCAGACTTGTGCAGATTCTCATTTTTCTCCATTCAGCTGATCTCCATGTTCTTCAGAGTTTAAAGTTTAAGGGGGTGTATTATTCTTTTGGTAACCATAGCTGTACCCATGAAGTTATTCCAGTCATATCTCATTTACTGTGGGAATGAGATTATAGCCTTGCAAGTTGACGTAGCATTCTGAGGTATAATCCTGTCTTCCCTCTTTCTTTTGTGTAGTTGCAAACATTCTCTTTTTTTTTTTTCTTTGAAGGTAAGAAGGAAAGTCCAGTATTTGCGTTCCCTCTGCTTTTACGAAAGGATCCCCAAGTCGAGACACTTTTCCTGCATTCTTTTTCATGGATGTTTGAATGTTTACATTGTGGCTACAGCCACCAAGACAGGTTAGGTTTTTACGTTTATTTACATTTATTATTGTACTTTCAGTCTTCACTTAATACATTTCTTCAAACCACCGTTGTGCACAAAGTGTGTACGTTTGGTAGGCGAGGAAGAGTTGTGATGGTGAAGTTATCTGGTCACCATTTTAAAAAGCCAGCATTTGTCAACAGTTTCCAGGTGGTGTATGGTATAATGGCTAATGACACAATAGTATCCTATGTGTAAAAAAGAGAAATAACTGGTGATTCTGTTGTCAAAGGCTGACTTTTTTATGTTGACCACTGTAAGTCACACACATTGCTGCTGCTCTAATGAATAGCATGCCAGACATGACCCATACATAGGTATGTCTTTCAGGGTTAAATAGAATAAATTCATCTAAATTGCATAAAGTCAGAAATGTAAATCTGATCCTTATTCACATAATTGGAAAATGTGAAAGTGTCCTCTACTCCTTGGTGTTTTAAAATGTTAGAAGGCAGGTGTGGTGAGGTTCCTCCAGGTCATCTAAATGGCAATTGTATTTAGTGTTACACGTCAGAGTGTCCTGAATGGCGCTGTAAAAACACGTTCAGGAATTTCTTTAAAGCATGTTTCATTTGAGTATAAAAAATTGACATTCAAAGTGGCAAACAGATGACTGGCTGAAAATACATTGTTCCATTTTATTATAGTCTGTATAAAAGATGACTGATATGGATTAGCAGATTGAGGCAAATTCAGTTTATATTAAGCCACTGCAGTGCCAGGGATGTCAGTGGGATTGTGCCAGGTGTAAGTGGACATTGCATGTAGCCTATTAATTTGCGACCTCTCTTTCTGGTAAATGCTACTACTGTACTTTTTTTTGAGTATCTCAGGTAGACAACTGATCGAATTTTATTTTTTCTTCCTTCCAGGTGTAGAAAGACACTAACAACATTTACAAATATAATCCCTGACTGGCACCCGCTTAATGCTATTCATATTGCTCCATGTAATAATTGTAATGATAAATCTCAAAGAAGAAAAATGATTTTGGAAAAGTAAGTTTGAACCACTTGAGATCTTGAATCTAAAATAGAGCATTGGTGTTTAAATCTACACATGATAAACTTAATGTCAACATTCTGTCACCTTTTTGACATGTTCAGCAAGTTTCCACTAAATGTTTAAGTTCCCAGCTTTGAGATGATTCTGAAAATTCTCAGGGATGTTGTTGTTAAAAATCTTTAATATATGTGGAGTATTTTTGTTCAGCTTAACGCACTAAGCAGACATTTCATTTGAGCCAAGTTGTAAAGCCCAACACTGAATATCAGTCTTTCCAGAGCATCTGGTATTGAGGGATGATAAAACTACCACCTTATAATGTTCAATGTTCTGGTCTGAATTGTGGTTGTCAGCCTTCCAGGTTTGGCAGAACTGTCTTCTTCTTCTGTCTTTGTCCCAAAACAACATTTTCTTTATAGGTTTTCCCCCATAGCAAATTAAGCTATAAGATGACACCTCTATTTCACTAAAAGCTTATTTCAAAGTGGAATTATGTATTAAAATGGGAGTGCCCTGTTCCTGTGTTCTCTCAGTCATTTGTGTATAATTTGTAAAGCAATCTTAGATTAATAAACAGCAGTAGAACAGTAATGCACTGAGATAATTACCATTCTCAAAATGCATTGTTTGTGATTTCATTAATACCTTGAGCCACTGTTTTATTCCAATAAGATGCTTTCTATCTTTATCATAGAGTACCCTCAATATTGATGATACATTTCGTAGAAGGTTTACCACATAACAAGCTGAAGAACTATTCGTTTCAATTTGAAGGAGATTTCTACCAAATAACAGCTGTTATTCAGTATCAACAAGATCCAAAACACTTCAAAACCTGGGTTTTGAATCCTGATGGTAACTATTACAACTTTATTATCATCATCATAGATAAAGCTGCCTCTGTTACTAATTTTGGGGTTATAATGATCACTGTACTATCTTAAGGTTTTCTTTTGTGTATAATCTAAATTAGGTATTAAATGTTTGCAAATATATTTACGTTCTTTGGTCTTTTTTAAAAAACCTCTGATTTGACTAACTCAGTAATTTGCTGCCATGCTTACTGATAACTTCATTGGAAAAAGACAATTGGACATGATCATTTTCTCATCAAACTTTGGTAAAATTACAAGAAACATAATCTGGGCACACTGTTAGTTCTTTTGGGCATTCAGATTACATGGGTATTGTAGTAGGGTTGGCTGCCTCCTGAACGCCCCCTTCTGACAAGAGTTTGCTGTGCAGGTGCCCTGCCTTAATTTCTCTCATTGGTTCCTCAAACTCAAAACACAACCCAAACACTTCCCTTCTGGAGGTTAAATATATTAGGTCCTCTGGGTACACACTGGTCCTCCAGGCCCACCCCAGTTGAGTGTCTTTCCCCTGTCTTAGGTAGGGAGTCCCCCGCTCTCCTTCCCAGAGGTGGGTCCTCAGTCAGCAGTCATTCCCAGGCTTTTCCTGGCTCTGACTTCTCCACTTCCCCAGTGTCAGGGTCTTCAATGCCGAAGCCTTTCACTTGCTATAGTCTGATGCAGCTTCCTGAGCTTCCCCCTTCTGCTTTTTATAGGGCAGTCGCATGATCTCTCCCAGGTGTGGCTCCTTCAGTAATCAAGGTTGGCTGCCCTAGGCCTCCAGCCCTTAAGGGGCAAGCTACCGTTACAGATACCAGATGTCTCTTCATGGGAAAAGCAAGTTCCCATGGGACTCGCAGTGCTGTCAATGCTCAGTTTCTTCCTCCTCCTGAATTTTGCAATTCTTTTAAGAGTAACTAGTAAGTTGCTGTTTTGATTTGTTGAACTATAGAGTACAACCCAGAAGGGTTTATGGAAACCTGCTTCCACGGAGGAAGGAGAGAGAAGCGATCACCATTTTAATCAAAACATCCTGGTCAGCTGAAAAGTTGTCTACTTAAATTGAACTGCCAGAGTTGCATGAAGAAAAGAGGATGAGAAACATCCCACTAACCATCAATAAATGTAGGATATGTCTACACAACAAAAGCTGTCCACAGGCTAGCCTACCTAAGCTAGCTTGAATCCAGCTAGTGTGGGTAACAGTAATGATGAAGGCAGCTCAGTGTGCACTTCAGTGCAGGTTGTACAAGTCTGGCATAGCCCCTGGGTACATACTCTGCTCACTAGCCCATTCTGAAGCTCATGTTGTGCTGTCTCCAGTGCTGCTGTTATCCACGCTAGCTGGATTCAAACCAGCTAGCCTGTGCACAGCTTTTGCTGTGTACACTATGCAACACATTACACCTAGGGTGTATCTCTTTAGAATCCGTACTAAAAACAACATTGTAATCCTTTTGTAACTGTTGGGATGGTTGGGAGGGAATTATCAATATGATCAGTTTCTCCCTTAAGCCCCTTCCCCATATCTTTATGAAAAATAATTCCCCAAATTAACTCTTAATGAGAGAGGTCTGTATGTCAGGATGTCAGGTCTGTCCAGATATTCTCAAACAGGATGTCAGTATCACTATCTAGGCCAAGAGCATCAGTGTGGCTAAGGAAAAGGAGTTACTTTCCATCTTGGTCATGTTACTAGGACCTAATAGTGAATTCTGTTGCTGCAAGTGGCCTAGTTACAGAGTGAAAGACCCCTAACTTTTCTTTGGGGAAAGTGATGGAACAAAGAAATCAACTTTGTTCACCAGGGTATATGTAGCATTGTCACATAAGTCACATAAAATGGGTGTTTTGAGACCCAAAAAGAATGATCTGAGTTTCAATGGCCATTGTGCATCTTTGAGCCTCTAAACTATTCATTTTTTATTTTTCAGAAACTTGGCTTGAATGCGATGACATCAAAGGTCCATATTGTGAAAGACGTGAGAGATTTGAAGTTCCTGTTTCAGAGATTCACATTGTCATCTGGGAAAGGAAAGCATCCCAAGTGCCAAATAAAATTTGCTCAAAGGTCCAAAGTGTAAAATCTGAAAATCTTCCTCTTAATGATGTACAGTCAAGTTCTTCTCTAGTGTTACATTGTGATAGTGATAATGCCGTAGACAAAATAACTACAGTATGTTATGAAAAGGAGATTGTGGGCATTCCTGCTAATGAACAACAAAAAGTGGCCAGAGAGAATGAAAATAGCTTGCTTTCTGGCTTAGAAAATTTGGCAGATGATGATATTATAACTCTGACACTTGTAGAAATTCAAGTTGATTCTGAAGGTAAACCACTGGACAACGGACAGATAGTGGGAAATAACTTAATTGCTGAAACAGGCTTGCTGAAAGAGCAGGGGTCAGCTTGTTCAGATCAAACTCCATGTACAGAAGATGTTTGCAGTCCGACTACCTCCAGCAACATGTGCACACCATCTGAAAATGCCTGTACTTCCTTACATCTAGGACCGTTGAACCTAGCGCATACTACATCTGCCGTTCCCACAAACCATTGTAATGACTCGTCCACGCCATCACACGCTCAAGAGGCAGAGGCCAAAGCTAGCCCAGTCAACACTGAGAATATCCTGTTAAATCCAGAACGCTTGCAGAATAAGAAATTACCATTAATGGAGAATGTTATGCAGAAATCCTCGAACACCAGAAACACAAGCAAAACTAGAGCAGACTCTCAAGCTGCAACTTTGTCTGCTACAAATAATTCCTCCCAGTCTTTGCATAAAGATCAAAGGAGAGGATTTATAGGAAGTTGGGTAAAGGGGTTATTAAGCAAGCATAATACCTTCATGCCTTCAAGTGCCTCAACCCATCATAAGAAAAGTTACAAAAATCCTTTACTAAGAGCTACTGACTTGCATCTCCCTACTAAGGGGGCAGCGAATTTTGGTGGCTTTCAAGCCAAAGGTACAAGCAAAACTACAACTACTGAGGGGGCGCCTAAATCAGCTGTTTGTGAAGGTGGAAATCTTCCTCCTTTGTTAACAAACATCACTGGTCCTTCTGTACATGCTAGTCTACCTGCAGTAAACCCTGTAGTTGATGGTCCAACTTTGAATAAGTCTGGAAGCTCATTGGGCACCTGGAGTACAGTAATTCAGCCCAACACCCCCATCTTTAATTCCAAACCTAGCCATGGGGAAAATGGAAATCACAAATCTGATGTGAAAGATAAAGAATCAAATCCCCAAACTCACAAACTTCGTTTAAAACTGCTTAAAAAACTGAAGGCTAAAAAGAACAAGTTGGCTTCACTTGATAGGCTGGCAAAAACTCAGATGTGTAATGGAAGCTCTCCAAATAGAGATGTAGAAGATATCTTACAATTTGGATCTCATGATGAAAGTGAATCAGTACAGAACTTATTGAAGGAACTGCAGTATCAGATTGATGTTGCAGATAGTGAATCTGTGTATAGTACAAACTCCAATATGTCACTATGCAGTAGCCAGAGTAATGCAGAGTTTTTAGCAGACTTATTGTCTCCTACTTCGATTGTTGCTTCTTTGGAGCTTCCAAAAGATGAAGATGAGTGTAGATATTTGGAAATGGTGGATAGCAATGCTGCAGCACCAGTGCATAGTGAGAGAACCAACCTCACATGCGTCACTGTGGCAAGCGAAGACCATAATTATTACAGTCCTGTAAAAGAAAGCAAGTATGAAGGTCATACAGACTCACTAATGAACAAATCCTGCTTGAAAAGACTTTCCTTTGAAAGTCCCACAAAGGAAGATATTCTTGAAGACCTGTTCTCCTCTGCAGTGTTGAACTCAATAGCAGGTGACATAGATTTACCTCATTTTGATGAAACTCTCTTTGAAACTTGTTGAATTGTTGTAATATTTGTTTTTAACATTTGAGAATTTTGTATATCAGCTTTCATACAAAGTACTATTAAATTATATTTTCAAACTAGTTTATTTGCACACTGACTGTACTTGAACATTGAAAATCTGCAGTATTTGTCTTACATTTCATTGTGGCTGTTGAATAAGATTTTTAGTCTTGTTTAACTTTCTCAATCAGTTATTTAATTGGAAGGGTTGATCTTTCACAGAATCTTTTAATGAACGTTAATCTTATTTTTTTTTCCCCTGCTTCAATGTGCATTTTTGTGTTTAATTTAGAAAGGTGAAAATAAAATACATTCAGTTTTCTGGACCACAGGAGTAATACCTATAAATTACTGGATTATTTGTCAAACTATCCAGATTCCTGATGTCTGTTTTAAATAGTAGGCAAAATAATGTAACATTTCAAGGGTGTTCTGCAGAGTTCCTTTACCATTTTCACAGCTGCTGTTTTACACGATCAACCTATGTAAATGCTACTCAAATTCAGCTTGAAAGGGAGATTTGAAAGCAGAGACTTCCCCTTATAAGGTGATAGTGCATCCTAGGGCTTACCTTCTGGGTAAACAAGAGCAGAATAGTGCACACCTTATTTAGGGCAGTTAAGATAGATAGGGTTTGGCCATGAATTTGCAGCACGAAATAAGATTTAACATATGGTATCTCATTTTAATGGTTGTATATAACACTTAAAATATCCTTGTGAGTCAATATTAAAAAAAGCTTCACTTCTGCAGATAATTATGCTTTCTAAGGAATTATCTTTTAAATGAGGAATCACTTCTCTCATCACTGACTTTTCCTGACTCGATCTGTATGCTTCTGCCATACAGGAGAGAAAACAGGATGAGGGAGAGAGGAGGTTAGTTGTGGGGGGAGGGGGAGAGAGAGAGAGCGAATCAGTAAGAAGGAAGAAAATAAGCTTCATCTTGATTTGTTTGATTCTTATTGCCACTAATGGGAGTCATACATTCTCACACATTGAACTGAGGCTATTCAATGCCCTAATTTGGTCAGCTGTATGTTTCAGACATGAAAAATAAAAAATATTTACAGGTTTCAAGGAGTAGCAGCCGTGTTAGTCTGTATCCGCAAAAAGAACAGGAGTACTTGTGGCACCTTAGAGACTAACAATTTTTTTAAAAAATATTTAACAATTTTTTAGTAGTCCCCTAAATACTACATTCATTGTATTCCTGAACACAGATTCATAGCATTTAAGGGAAGAAGGGACCATTTTATATACAGGAGCTCAGACTAGAATATCTCAGGCCCTTAAATTTTACCCAGTTACCCGTGTACTGAGCCCAATAACTTGTTTAACTAAAGAATAACCTGTTTGGCTAAAGCATGTTTTCTAGAAAGGCATCCAGTTTCCAGCGAGAGAGGGAATCTATCCCTACTTCCCGTGGCATGTTGTTCCAATGATAATCACCCTCACTGTTATATTGTGTCTAATATGAATTTGTCTGACTTCAGCTTTCAGCCATTGGTTCTTGTTTTGCCTTTCTCCACTAGATTAAGGAGCCCATTAGTACCTGGTATTTTTTCCCCATGAAGGTACTTATAAGGCATTCAAATCACCTCTCAAGTATCATCTGTAACCAGCTTGCCAGTGCTATATACAGAGGTAGAATCACCTCATACTCCTACACCTCACTACTCCTATTTATGCATCCTAGCATTGCGGTAGCACTTCTTGCATTACAGTGGCAGCTTACATTGAGTTCCTTGTCTAATATGACCCCTAAATCCTTTTCCTGTTTTCCCGGTGAGCAGGAAGGGCCTGCTTTCCTTATTCCTACCTGTATAACTTTGCATTTGGCTGTACTAAAACACAGACAATTTTGTTTGAATGGTTTCAGACCATTCTCTCTGCCTGTCTTTTCTATTAGATCTAGAGATATTGCTTATTCCACTGTAAAAAGGAAGAGGAATGAACACAGTACACTAAAATCACAAAAACCAATGTCTGGGCTGTACACTTTTTATAGTGGTGTAACTTTTAAAAAATAATCACATCCCTCACCAAAATAATTACATTGTGGACAGTTATACTGATATAAAGTTGCCTTATACTAATGTGACATACCAGGGTACAATCCAGACCAATGAGTAGCTGGGTCACCCCTGCCATGTAACCTGGGGTGCCCTTTACAATACCTTGCTGCAGCCTCCAAACTGGACTGCTCACAAACAGCCTCCAGCATGTAAGTCACCCCCAGCTATGTCTGTGTGCTGCAGCCAGCCAGACACACCTTGCCTCTTACCAGCCTTAAAGACTCCCACAGCTTACACCAACATGCTCCTATCCCAGATTTTCCCCCATAAACCTACGTCCTGCATTATCCAGCCCTCACCTGGACAGCACAAATAGATTGAGTCTGTTATTCATTTATATGCACACAATTTGTTACTCCAAATGGAGTTCCCCACACACTTCAACTTGAACATGCTGGATTAGATACAGTTAATAAACTAGTTTTATTGTTTCAAGAGAGACTTTAAGTGAATACAAGCAATGCAGCATAAAAATTAGAAATGGTCACAAGAAAAATGAAGATGAAAATGCTTACTGATGCCTACCTCAACAATATTGGATTAAAGGAAAGTTTTCTCACTACGTGCTTTCAGCAGTCTTACTGACCAAACTCTTCAGGTCAGGACTCATTCCCCAGAGTCCAAGAGCTGCTTCCTTTGTCTCTGCAGGTGCAGAGAATGAGATGGGCAGGGATAGAGTGAGAGTGGTACCGTGGGGTTTGTCCCTCCTTTTTATAGTTCTAGTTTTATAGCCCCCTCTTGAAAACACATTTCCAGCTGAGGTCCAGGAGACAGTCTATGTGGAAAGATATTCCCTGCTGGGTTGTTGGGTTTTTTTCCCTTCACCTGTTTGAACTTCCTTTGTTTTATCTCCCTGCGTAATAACTCTGTTTACTGCTTACATGCATATTAAGGCAAGCACACATTGCTTCCATTGTTTAGGACAAGACCGGATTTCTGCCTGGGCTGGGCTATGGGGCTTGGAATGTGTGTTAACATCATATGAGGGAATCTTAAATGCCACATATAATGTTGCCACACATGCTTTACCAGAACAGTACTGACCAGCAAATTGAGTTTTCACACGATAACTTATAATCTTTGTACAAGGTATGCCTTATAACAATAGTGTGTAAGGTGTGAACATGGGTGTGTTTTGTCACCAGTATAACTTATTTCCTTTCCCTTCCTTTTTAGAATAGGCTATACTGCTCTAAGCAGTATTACACCAGTATAACTGCATCCATAATAGGGGGTTGTACCACTTTAACTATCTGAGTACAGTTAAAGCAGTACAATTTTGTGTGTAGTCAAGTCTTTAAAGCAGAAGTGAGGATTTGATTTCATTATTGTTCTTATGAATTTAGTCATTTTTAATGAGAAAAGCCTGACCTTTTTTCTGCAGTTATCCCTTGGTACTCCATTTCTATCTATCCATCCAGCTTCTTATGGCCTCTCCCCCAAGTAAAAGGCCATAACGATCTTTCTCTTTCTGCACTCTTAAAAGGCTGATGTGGTTGGTTTTGGACATATAAGAATGACCAAGAGGGTACTGTTGTGCAAAAGCCTGAGTGATGGTGAGTTATGCTGTGACATTAATGGTCATTCATATTTCAGCTGCCAGAGTTGCATACTCTAAATCTGTCTCCTGCTATTTCAAGTCTCCTCATAGTCCCTGTAGTTACAGTGGGATGTAACTCTCATCACAGGATATGGCAACAAAAAGAGAGATGGTCTTGGAGCGCTTGGGCCAGTTCCATGCAGCCTTTGAAAAATCAGGCCAGCAACCTTGAACAGACTCTGTGTCAAACTGTTTCTGTAACAAATATGGCTATGTACATCAAAGTAACACTCCGTGCAGGGGCTGTTTCTCTCTTTTAACCAAAAGTCAGTTCTTGCCAAGGGTCTGAGCTTCTCCTTGGTTTTACGTGTCTTTACTAATGTGTTGGGATAAGGAAAAAAGCACCAATGACTTTAAATGTAAAGTAGCATGAATACATCTGATGCAGTGTTCATCTGTCTGTGAATTGCACTGTTGAGAAAAATGGTACTAACCACAACTGGAGTGGTTAGTAAACAGGGTGTCTTATTAGTAAATAAGGTGTAGTTTCTCTAAAAGACAATGCAGGGGTGTAACTGTCTATGTGCAAGGGTGTAAACAATACAGCTGGAAAGGAATTATAAAGGGTATGAAAGAATAATTTAAAGGTAACAGGATTAAATTAAACTCAAACATAAAAAACTAAATTATAGCTGAGACCAGGACAAGTTCATAAAGCCATTTTAACCTCATCTTCCCAAAAGTGGTGGGCAACATTATAGTAGACAATTTTTCCTAAACCAAAGTATGGCGAAGCTGCACTAACAAACCTGTTCCGAGTTCTCTATCTATTTTACCCTCTTTAAGCAGATTTTCCACTAGAGGATGAGAACAAGATCTGAAGTTAAAAAAACACAACTTATTCTCTTCCCTATCTCTCCCCGCCCCCCCCAAAAAAACACCCCACCTTAGAGTCCAGTAGTTGCTGCATTCCTTTTTGTTTCCGGTTAATTTTAAAATATAGACCAAAAAAAAGAGTTCTAGTTTTCTGTAGTTAAGGACCCTTTGATTAGGTGGGTGTAAAACAATCACTGTGAAACTGAGACAAGTAGCCACCTTTTCTACAAAAGCACTTAATGCTATATGTGGAACAATAAATAATATTTGTGGTTTGGGAATTTGGAGCAAATGTGGTTCTCCCGGTATGGCACCAGTGAGAACCCATGAACCCACATTTTCTGTCTGTGATTTGTCAGGCCCAGATCCACAAAGGGACCTAGGCTGTGCTAGGGTGAGCATTGCATTGCTTAAAAGTTTTGTTCCTGTGAGTTTCTAGGAGCCTCACTGCAGTCCCCACAGCCTGAGGGGGGGGGGGTAAAGAGGTGCTTTAGAATGCAATGCACAAAAGCGAACAGGCTAGGGGGGAGCTACCTAATCTACCCGTGGGAGATGGTGCTGAGAGGGGGTGTATTTTAAGCCCTGCA